CTAACATGGATCACAGGAAGACGGGGGCGACATCAATGCGGCAGGTCCTGGTATGGCTTAGTGATCCAGATAACTGATGAAGCCCGAGGGCGCTTGAGGGCGTCAAGACAGCTTTAAATTGGCGATCAGTGGGTGGGAGTACAATACCAGCTAATCAGCGGTCATAATCATAATACCTTTTCAGGGGTTCATTGATCCTGGCGGCGGCAAGAGACAAAGATACTTCGGATACATAACTCCTAGCGGAATTGACGAGTATCAACATAATGAACCGCCCAAACTGGAGATGCAAAAGGATGAGCCGGTTACCGGACAGCATACTTGAATCAGCGGTCGATTTCGCGCGTCCAAGGTGGGGAACAGCACAGCATGGCTTGACACGGCTACGCGATCGAGTTGTTATCGTCAGTTAATATCGTAGAAATTTCTCCAAGAGGATGAGAGAGTAAATTTACCCTGCCTGTTTGCTGTGAATATCCAAAAAAGAGCCCCTTTTCAGCGAGTTTGATGCAATATTAATTGAAGCAGCTGTTTCATCCCGGAAAGGGCTATTTCCTCAGCTGTCGAACAAAGTTCGCCTTCATGCCGTCCAGGCAAGTGCGTTGAGCTGCGGACTCAAGGTTATCCGCGGTTTCTGTCTTCTTTGAACCAGGTATTTTTAATCTATAGCATCTAGAGAATCGCTAGGTAAGTGGGCTATCCCTGAAGAAGAGCATAACATCAGAGATTTTCACGGAACCGAGCTATCCCCAGGTGTTCTTCGCGGCAACCCGAGATATAAGTAGCGTAGACACGGTGAAACTGAAAAACAAAGAGGCTCAGCGACTTCTTGGGACTGATAGACCATCACGAGGTGGGTGTCTATCTGATGTGACGAGACCATCCGTTTTTTTGGGAACCGACTTGCCTCCAAGAAGTACGACACCCACTGTGGCTGCGTACGCCAGATCTGCCCAGAGGAATGGCGAAGGTCAGTACAAAGCAAAGTGATGTTCCCAGCGGGGCTGTCTGCGAAGTAGGAGATCTCACTAGGAGCAATAAAGCAAGGACTCAGGTACGATGTATACGATTCCCAGTACTGCACTAGTCAGCAGTAATTTAAGCGATCGTGACCGGCTCCCTGACTTGAACCTAGGCAGCTACAGACCTTCAGGGCAATAAACCGGGGGAAGGGTACGATGGACGACGTGTAAATGGTCTCCTGCGACACTACACAGTACAGATCCTAGAATCACGGGGCAAGCTCGACGCTTTGCGTGCAGGCTGAAGCTGTGTACTAGGAGGCCAAAGTGCAAGTACATTGTAACCCCCCTTCTTGATAACAGCTGTGCTAACGACCCCTCCAAGCATCCCCGATTTGATGTGACATCATGCTCTTTGGTCCCAGTATAGGATCATTCGGAGCCCAACTGACAACTGTGCACGGACTGCGCGTCCATGTTCATCTAACTTGCATCTGCTAGCTCACCATCACCAGTACTGCCATGTTCAGGCTTGAAGACTTCCCCGTGGAAGTCTTGCTGGACAATTTTTTGCCCTTGCTGCCCGTCTCTGACCTTCTCAGCCTTGGATCTACCAATCGTTTCTTCGTCACTCTTTGCAACGATGATACTTTTTGGAAGAGAAAGATTAAGCAGGATTTCAACTTCTCGGATGAGGACACTGCTCGCAGTAGTGGCTGGAAATTCATCTATCGCGGTCTAAGCCGTCCGCGTACCTACGTTTGGGGGTAAGAGGCCAGATCCACATTTAACCACTTGGATTAATTCTGCTACCCTGTAGTGAAAAGTCCAAGGGAAGGTTGGGCATGCAGCATTTTCCTCGTTCGACGATTCCCGATGTTCCATTCCCAGTCGAGCTTCGGATCGCTCCTGGTGCTCGCATCGTGCAGTTATCCGCAGCGGGAATGTGAGTTCATAGTACTGATTGAGAGATGCACTTGACGAGTATTTCCAGGGGTTTCTTTGCTCTTGATTCTGACGGAAACCTCTATGTTTGGGGTATTGAAAGAATCCTTTACCCCCGTAGTCCCTGCTAACAAGATTCTTTAGGCACATTAAACGGAAATGAATTTGCATTACAAAACGATGGATTCTCTGCTCCAGGTTCTTCTGCTCCAAGGCCCCTGAAACTCAAGTTACCTGCTACGACACGCGCTCTCAGGCAAGCAGCCCTGACTATTCGACCGGCCTTGTTCCACTTTGACTTATAGATCCACAGCTGCGGAAGGCTGCACGCTACAAGCCTGGACGAGCATTTCCACATTTGGACCTTCTTGAGCTTCGGACGTCCGTTCCGTCTTGTTACATCCTTGTTGGATGCTACTACGTCGGACTCGACTCCACTTCACGTGGAGTCGGGATGGAACTTTTCCTCTGTTCTCACCAAAGGCGGCGACGTTTTTGTTTGGTGGCCGTTTAGCGACGAAATGAGGGAGCTTGTTGCCTCCCAGAATGCTGCTATGGATGCAGCCGGCCAGAAAGTAGAGGCGACGGACGATGGTATTATACCCTGTGCGCACTGGCAACTTCGTAAAGATCCTTATAAGCTCCCTGAGCTGCCACGGTTACCGAACCTTGTATCCGGCATCGAAGACGTGGACGTTCGTCTCATCAAAATCGCCGCGTTGGAAAATCATTTAGTAGGCTTGACAAATCACGGCCACGTTCTCAAGATTGTCGTTGAAAGCAGCGTTTTAGCAACACGAGAGGGATGGGAATACGTGGGTCGATTACAATTAGTCTTCAGCCGGCACCTTAACAGCGCCTACTCAGCTCCCCCACTTCTCGGAGTCCGAGAAGATCAAGCAACATGTAAAGTCTGCCGTTCCCAGATTACAATTCCCCAAAGGCATACAGGTTACTCATGTGACTATACTCATCATTGTCTTTTCACTGCCCGAGCTCACGACTATTGCAGATTTCTGCGCAATATCAAACATTTGTGGCCTACTCAACTGGATCCAGCTCTGTGGTCCTCATGGGATCCAATCAGACCAGTGCCGGGTCTGAACCTCGCATTCTTCCTGCGTTGCAGAACATAGATGTCATTTCTGTTGTCCTCGGGGACTATCATTTTGGCGCACTGACCTCAACAGGCAAATTGTTGACATGGGGCGCATATTCACGCGGTGCCCTTGGGCTCGGGGACCCCGTGAAGATTGAAGCCGGACAGCCTGGGGGCTACCTAACTGAGCAACTGCGACAGTCCGCCGCCAGTCACGGAGGGCCGTTTCCCCCCGGTGTCGCGGAACCGACCGAAGTTAGATTCGACCACGGGGAAAAACGGAGCAGAAAGAGGTTCTGTTTCGCGGCAACATCTGCGGGATGGCACATGGGAGCCCTGGTAATCGATCTGGAGGTATGAGTACCTTCCGAGGAGCAACGATGTCGTGCTAATCAAAATATCTTTCGCAATCTATATCAGCCCGAGCCCGATGACCTTGATAACGAGGAAGATTCCGTTCGAATGCCAGGGGGTTTCCCATCTCGTTCTGGACCTTCTAACTCTCCCGACTTCCCCCACGAGCCCGGTTCATGGGGTCCACCCCATATGAGAGTTTTCCGAGTTGGTTTCGCGGGCAGAGGCGCAATGCGAGGAGGGTTTACTAGCCGGGGTAGGGGTCAGTGAAGGAAGATATGCTCGCGTTCCGGACCGGTGTAAGAATAGGGTGGGAGTCCTTAATTTTGTAATCTGGCAGTGGGTGTATTTCTCGAATTCCTATATCAACTTCGCTCGATGATGGTCACCACCGACCTGGGAAGATTGCAGTTTCTAGCTTTATAAGCAGTACTGACATTTCATCTCTACGCTCATTTATGCGAGGACTTTTTGTACTTTTTTGCCAGACATGTCAAATCAAACCTACTTGAAGCAGTAACCCGTCCATTTGTGAGGCAAATACGAAGGCCAAGCTTAGGGAAAACCTCGTACCAATTTCCTCCCCCGTGATGTGGTGACAAACATAGCGTCCTACGTCTTCGAAAATGTCCCCACCATAGTCAGCACCTATTCTCAAAGGACCCCTGAACGGTATATAAGCTCAGCTTTACCTCGACTCTCACCAGCAAATCATCCATACCATTCACAATGTCCTCCCCAATCATCTTCTACGATATCCCCAGCGCCTTGCCTGGCAATGCCTGGTCACCAAACACCTGGAAAACGAGGTGAGTCGCTGGGTAACCAGAGAGATACCGAGCTAATGATATACTCCCCGTGTAGATATGCGCTGAACATCAAGGGTGTTCCCTACAAGACGGAGTGGGTCGAATATCCAGACATTGAGGCCCTTGCCAAGAAGATTGGCGCACCCCCCACCGGCACCAAAGATGACGGCAGCCCATCATACACCCTCCCCATTATCAACGACCCCAACACAAAGAAAGTCGTCTCAGACTCTTTCATCATCGCTGAATATCTTGACGCCACTTACCCCGGCGGCAACACACTCTTCCCTGCTGGGACAAAGTCTCTTATCGAGGCCTTTGAGGCTGGTGTTGTCGGTGGTCTTGGAGGCGTCCTGTTGTTGCAGCTTGCTCTCAGTTGCTACATCCTGAACCCTTCTAGTGAGAAGTACTTCAGGGCAACCCGGGAGGCCAAGTTCGGCTTGAAGATTGAGGAGTTCTCCCCTGAGGGTTCCAAGCGCGAGGCCGACTTGGCTAAGGGGAAGGAAGGTCTTGCTGCTGTTGATGGCTGGTTAGCCAAGAATGGTGGTGGCAAATATGTGATGGGCAACACCGTCTCGTACGCAGATGGTATCCTTGGAGGGTGGCTCACATGGATCAAGATCACCAGTGGGGCTGATAGCGCTCTGTGGAAAGACTTCGCGACCTGGCACGGTGGACGGTGGGGGTCCTACGTTAGTGGCTTGGAGAGCTATGCTGCCATCAACTAAACGTACAAACACGCATTTACCTCGATATGTATAAATATGTATGCTAGCGTTCACGGCTGAATTTGCGATGATCCATCCAGATGTTGTAAAAAGAAAAAGAACAGGGCCTGGCCGGGAATTGAACCCGGGACCTCCTCGAGATTAGGCAAACCCTAACAAGGAATCATACTACTAGACCACCAGGCCGATATTGATGGGAACAACATGCGCATTGCCGACCAGTTGACTCCCGTTTTAGATAAATGTCCTCGAAACGACTGGATGTTCAAAACGAGTGTGGTTTGATTGGGTGACAGGGATGTTGGTGAATGAACAACGATACAACGCAGACATACATGATTCAAGACACGCTATTTGAACCGGAACATGTTCCTCAGCGGGGTGGAAAGGCGACTTTTCGGGGCACCCTCCAGCCCTCTCCTGAGATCACTCTCGTTCATGATTGACCATCGCGGCTTCCTCTGCGCCTGGGGGGTAGGGGCCGGACTCGCGTTCTCCTTCTCTGTACCTTTGACTCTGCAAGAACGCTCAACAGAGGCCAGCGCTGCAGGTTTGGAGAGCAGGACAGATCGTTCCACGTTATTGTCTCGCGGACGGAGGGCTGGGAGCTGTGAGAGACAACTTGGCTTGCTGACCGGTGGGGGAACTATGGTTTTGGGAACCAACCTAGGCCTAGGAGCCGGCTTCTTCTCTGCAGGAGACTTCAATTGGGCTGGCGTCACTGCGACCGCCGTTACCTTTGCTGAACTCTTCGGAGGCGGTCTGGACCTGTTCGGGGATGGAGTGGTAGGTCGCTCAGAGGCGGCAGTAAAACTCTGGCGCAGAGGCGAAGGGCGCTCAAGAGCTACTCCTAGAGTGGGAGGCGCAGAATACAACGTTTGATCGTCGTGAAGATCGTTAGTTAGCATGTCTTCAAAACGAACGCTCTTGGCCTTCTTCAAAATGCCCCTCACATGCAGAGGAGTGGCGGGATTGACGAGAGCAGGTCGTGGCGGTAAGGGAACTCCGGGAGGACCGCTTGACTTGCTTGCAGGGCTCCGCATACCTGGCATTGATGATTGTGGTCGAAGTCGACGCTGGAGCGTTGGAGCGGGCTTCACAGGGGTGGAACACTCGTAGGGAGCGAAAGTACTGGAGTCTGCCACAAGCTCAGGCTCCTCATCCTGGCTCCAGTGCGAACGCCGCTGTGGAACTTGAGGGGGCGCGTCGACCAATCCTTCAAAGTCGTCTTCAAAACTGGCAAGTTCTCGAGCGAACGCCCATTCATCGGAGCCGAGGGTAGTGTATGGAGTCTCTGGAGTTACCTCTTGATCCTCCCATGGATACTCTATAGGGGTTGACAGCCCGCTCGCAAGTACCGCGCACTTCGACCTGAGGTTTGACAGCATGCTCTGATGGTCCGTGAATGGCTGCCCAGGGAGCCGAACATCGAACTGAGGTGACCAAACGCTCGGCGAACCCCGAAAGGCCGTTGGAATGTCCGGGTAGTCCATTTCTTCCATCAACTTCTCTTTCAGCTGTAAGCCGCTCACTGCTTTTCCGCGTCGGGCAGCCAGAGGAAGTTCAGATGTACTTGAGGTGGACGGCGTTCCAATCAACGGGACCGAGCGAACCGGCATTGGCGACGCAGAAGTTTGTGGAGATGACGAGAGATCGCGTAGTTTTCCCAAGTGACCAAACCCAGCGTTCTCCAGCTCCCCGCGGGGACTTCCAATATCCAGGTCCGCGGAGTTCACAGGCATCTGTAGGATCCATTCGTTAGTTCCTATCGACTCCCCAAGCACGACAGACGCCTCTCGGAACATTCGAAGTTCCCCAGGACAGTGGGTTTCGTTATCGGCTGCTAGTGTTTCGTTGAGTGCTTGGAGGCTTCCACGCTCTCGAGCTTGTCGACGCTGTTCGGTGACAGACTTGATCATATCAGCCGGAAATATAGAGCCTTCTGAGATCCATTTCCTCTCTGGGACTGGCATATCACACGTCCATGGTACGTGTCTCGGGGGATCGTCTGGCGTCAACGTATCCTTGCATTGCGAATATCAGCGAAGGCGCATACAACAAGCAATACTGTTGGCGGGCTTACAATCCACTTCTGAACGTATAAATGCTCCTTTATCATGAAGTTCATGCGAGGGGACGTTGGGGCCGCCAGAACGAGGGGAATGTCCTCTTCGTCTGGACAGAGGTCTCCTAGCTCGAGGGCGTCTGCGCGGATCGGGAAGGGGAGCTGTGCGCGGTGGGCGTTCACGACAAAGAGTGGCGGCTGATGTCCACCCGGAAAGGCTGGAACATCCTGCAAGAGACCCTCATCCGAGTCCTGGTCATCGCTGTCGCCGAAGATAGGATCTTCAAAGAGCAACTCCGGGAGACTAGTAGCTTGCTCTAAGACTTCACCGATGACAATGGTAGTCGATGGGAAGAGACCAGACGAAGACCACACATCCGACCTATCAATCATAATGCGCGACGGTGTTTGAGGGGGGAACATGACGACGATAGAAAGTATTTGCGAAAACAAAAGCGACCAAGCAAGACAGAGAGAGAGAATAACTGGCTTGCATGTTGCGATGGATGAGGAGGAGGGGGCGGCTGACGACTCATTCATGGGGGAGGCTGACGGCAACGGAGTACAATGAGAGCAGGGACTAAGGTACTCATGGGCTCAATGATAGATTTTGCCGGCCAAGCTGAGGATTGGTTCATTCATGAAACCAAGCAAGTAATGACGTGAAGACGAAACCAGATACAGGAGGAACACACAAAAGACGCACAATCACCATCCAACAAGCACGCATACACACACATCCACTCAAATCTTCAACCAAGGCAAACGCAACCTCTTCTCCCTACTAAACCCACTCTCAACAGGTACATGCGCCAACGGAATACTCGGACGCGACACCGCCGCAGTAGTATTACCCCTCGAACGCTGGAAAAATGCTTTGAAGGAGGTCTTCCCCGATGGTGGAGAGACGAGCGGCGCGGTGGGAGGAGGGTACGGAGCAGAGCGGCGCTCGGCAGCTCGCCTGTGAAAAGGTGCGCTATAAGTTGGGCTCGAAAGGGGTGGAGAGCTTGCAAGGGGCGGATGGAAGGGTCGGGAAGGACGAGGTGGGGGACTTGAATAGCCGTGCACTGGGTAGGCGATAGGAGACCTAGAACTGCCTGCGAGGAATTCGGGAGTGTTCTGCTAGTGGGTGATAAGTAAAAATTAGAGTTATAGGACATAGCAAAGCGTACACGAGGGTCGTATATGAACCCTGAATGGCGGTCACGCGGGTTGCTGTCCTTTGGTATGGTGCCGGGGTGGCGCGTTCGTGAGCGTTCAGACGGCTGTTCAAAGCATCGATTCAGTGGATTAGTCAAACAATAGCAAGAAAACGTGACACACAGTAGAATTCGTAGGAGTGTTGCACTCGCTTTGAGTTGGGCTGGCTGACAGCATGCGCTCCTTCCCTTTATTGGGCGTGGATTGGGGCAGCGAGTGACTACTAGCAAAGTCATTTCCACCTTGAGATGCGTGCTCGTGACGATCTGCAGAAAGCGCTGCATCCCTCATAGATGCGACGGTGGAAACTGCAGATATGCACTCTCGAGACGAAGAAGCAGCCTTGACCCAGTGAGCTAAGTCATCAAGCTCTTTAAGCATATCTCGCATGTCCTGCGGGAAGCCCGCTCGTCCGGCCGACCCAGCAGAGAGAGGGGTAAGGGGCAAGCTCTCTCCAGAAGTGCTTGACCCTTTGCCAGCAACGGTGTGAGTGAGCACACGTTGCCCGTTCACGTCCACAGGGACGAGCGCGTAAGTCCTCCCAGAACGCTTGGATGCACACTCCGTGCATGTTTGGGAGGAAGACAGAATAGGAGGGCTGATCGGTGGAGTAGCAGTGCGCGAGGGAGCTAGAAAGAGCAAAGCATCACGATTGACAAGGTGAGAGTGATCGGGACCGCTTGGGGTTTCGAGCTGGTTGCTCGTCTGAGTGGTACTGGAAGTGACCGAACGGAGGGAGTCCAAAGACCGCGAGACAATCATGGATGAGCTACGTCTCATCAAATCGCTACCCGCGAAAGCACCTCCCCTATACCCTCCATAGTATTCCCCTTGCACCGAAATAAAGGGGGCTGCCACGGGTGCAACGTGAGAGGGACGAGAGCGCGGGGCGCGAGTGGTAGCCGGTCCTATTGGAAGGGTCGCCTGTGCGACATATCTCCTATGCCCATGATACTCCTCGCGCGCAAAGGTTGGGTATGCGGGAGAGGAAAGACTTTGTTCTCCCTGAACCACAACATAGAGGCGACTTTCTAAGGTCTGAAGCGTTAAAGCGTTCTGCAGATCCTTCAGGACAGGTCGTGGCTTCTTCGACGAAGCATTCCCTGAGCGACGAAGCAGCGAGGGCTTGATGACATTTTCCTTCGAAGCTGCGTGGAACATGCTGGAGGTCATTATAGCACCTAGCGGATATCAAGGTAGAGGTTCGGACAGAACGTATGTCCAGTTCGGTGGACAACATGCAAGTCAGCCTCCTTGCCCACCTGCCACAGTAGACAAGGAGGCTGGCAAGTGGAATCCTCCTGGCTGCGGTAATAGGCCACCAATTGTGGCGTTGGAGGGCTATCGAAGGACATCGATGTCCACCTTTACAGCATTCTGCCACATTCTTGAATGCCCTGTGACTCTGTAGAAGCTTTGTAGCATGACACCGTATGTGAACACCAGGACGGAGGCCAGTTGTAAACGCGGGAAAGGGCTGCTGCTACAAATATCCGCGCACCATCATTTCATAGATACTGTCTGTAGTTCGCTTGAGAAAACTGAGGCCTGAGGACCCCACCACGCTCCAGTATGGGACTACAGTGGCCACCACAGCAGATACAGAAACATCTGCAGTAGAAGATTCGGTGGCGACTTCCTTCGGAGGCTAACTTACACTGTACAATTGCAGCATCAGCCCGGGGCGCGGGAGAAGCCCTTGATGTAGATCTTTGAAAAAGTTTTGATGAACACTGGCATGATCAAGGCACCTGTGCAGATGTTGCTAGCTGGACGTTTGCAATTGCGACCAAGGCTTTAAGGCTTCGGCATGTCCAAAGTTGCTCCGAGTCTGTGAAACTTTTCGAGTTCGCGTTGCTACCAGTGCGTTGCAACTTACTGCAGCTCTCACGCTAGAAACTTCTGGCGACGTTCTTGTAAA